TGATACAATTTAATAACTAGTCCAAAAAGAGCATACTGAAGCGAAAATGTGCCATATGCCATTTCCGCTTTACAAATCTTTGTCATAAGATTTTTCCTTTCTTCCTTCTTTTTTTTTTAAACTTACAATTTTTAAAAAGTTTTCTCTATTATCATCCATTTAAAATAACATTGTCAGGATTTTATTCGAAATTTCTGAAATTACTGCATTTGATTTAAATTTTAAACTGAATTAGATATGGGCTGTAATTAATCCGGAATAGTATTAAATAATATTATTTTGATACCATTTATTATATGAATATTATCTTGATACCATTATTGGAAATTTTAAAAACTATAAGTAGATGTTGTGATTCTAATTATTTCACTGAAATTATCAATTATCAGTGAATGCGATGATACAAGGGGTCAATATAATTGATTGATCGTTTGACTGATTATTGATCAGACAGTATCTTTCATGATCGTTTCCTTTTTTTCAAATTCAATGATTGATTTTGCACTAAAAAATTTTTGATTCCTTAAGATACAACCTAAAATAGCGATCTATTTTACAATTACCATATAATTTTGAAATGGATTACATGATAAGTACCATAAAAAAATTGTTGCATTATAAATATTCCAACTTTATGCGTAATTTTCTTTCAAAATTTTACACTTTAGTTTAAATTTTTGCAAGTACAGACTGAGTTAAAAAAAAGTTTTGAAAGCACAAATAAAATGACAGAAAAAACTTTGACCATCGAAGTGACAAATTGAATAAAAAATGAATTTAAACTTCCAAAAATGTGTAATTAAATTAATAAAAAGAATGATAAAGTTTTCTATTTATGGTTTAAAATCTTCTTTGCAATCAATTTTAAGCATTGTTTATTCTTTTTTTTTTGAGTAATTGCAATCTTTGATCTACCTGTATATTAATCAAGCGGTCTTTATTTGTAAAAAAGAAAAAACAAAACAAAACACAAAAAAACATTGAAATGACGATGTTTAGTGGATGATTCACTGCAACAGATTACGTGTAATACGTGACCTGATATGAGTAAAAGCTTAAAATGCTGAATTATTATGGAAACAGAAATTTTCAATTTAATGATTTTATTTGAATGAATGGGAATTTGGTATCCTGAAAAATTTTTTCTTTCCTTCTCGCTTTTTTTTGGCTGATTTAATTAATTGAGAGCTGTCAAAGTGTCATATCTCTTCATTTTCAATAATTTTTTTCTGGTCATCCCCTTCACCAAAAAATGTTTTTCTTCCATTTATCACTTACATTCCTTTAGTAAAAAAACAAATTGCTCATTTTAAATGAATGAAGTAACATTAAATATTTTTTAAATGATAATAAACAATTTTTGCTGCAATAATGAATGAGAAAAAGAAATAAATAAAACATGGAAGTATTAAATTGTGAAGTGGAAAATTCTCATAATTTTAAATTTAAAAATTAATAACTGAGTCTGAATTCAAAAACTTTTGCATGAACAATTCAATACTATTTGAATTCAAATTTAATTATCGGTTCATTGGAATCGAAATGGATTTCAAGGATTTATTCATTCAGTTAATTATTTCTTATTTGTTTCAAACAAATCGCAAATAATTCTCTTTTCTATTTTCAATTAATGAAAATTTTTAAATATTAAGAGAATCAGATATTCGAGTATTCAAATATTGAAACAAACAAGTATTCAAGTATTCAAGTATTACGGCGCTAAGGCAATCAAATATTCAAGTACTCAAATATTCTTTGCTAGCATTTAAAGAAAAATAAAATGAACACGAAAGTTTCCAATTTTATTCCAACAAAACAATATTTCTACATTCTTTTTCATTTGATGGTAATTTGTTGCAATAGAATTGTCCCTCCATAAGCTTGTTTCTAATTGTTGCGAATTTTTTGCAAATCTACTTGGCCAATATCACTATTGGCCTACTGGGCTTTTCTGAATTGTTTTTTTATTTTTTAATATCCACTTTTTTTGCGCATTTTTTGATAACTTCCGTTCGTAGTTGCATAAGTCATTCCGCGAAAGAAGAATGTAAATCAGACTACTTTAACTATTATTCGAAATCTTAATTGACTATTAGACTCAATTTGATCAATTTAAAATTTGATTTTAATAACCTACTTACTTGCCGCCTATTTATCCAACTGCTTATTCATCTATATCCATCTAGTTACTTACTTATCTCACATTGCATGTTTCATCATTTCATCTGTCAAATGCTAATTTTTTTGTCTTTTAATCAGACAATGCTATTTATCCAAATATTTAAATAATAACACTTAGCAAAATAGTTTTTTTTAAATGTTTTTGTCCTTTTTTATCAAAAAGTGTCAATAAAAATTTGCATAGAAGGGAAAGTACAAAGGTCATTAAAAATGGAACAAACAAAAGACTGAAACTAATTGGTGCAGTTTGTTAATTAATTAATAGTAATACTCGCATTGATATCATTTTATGCCTATTTCCATTCTCAATTTTTTGTTTTGTCTTAATGAGTTGATTGAATGAATACACTTTTTAGTAGGAACTTTGCTTTTTTTTACCAACAATAATCGCAAATGTAACTTTCTGTCAAGTAAAAAAACAATTTAAAATAATATCAGATAAAATAATTTAATGAGTTAATTACAAATAATTTGAATTTCTTTCATTCATTTACATAATGTTTGTTTATTTATATGCATATTTTAACAAAGGAACAATTTAATTTATCCTTCATTTCATCATCATTTAATAAGAAATTATGTTTCTTCCCTCTTTTTTTTCGATAAAATTTTCATTTGATTAAATATTTGTTAAAATTACTAAGGAACAATTATGTCTTTAATTGATTAATTAATTTTAAGTTTTTTGTTCATATAATTGGGTCATTTTAGTGAAGATCAACAACGGAAGACGACGTGGGAAGTCGGAAAATCGAACAATTGAACCGGATGTAAAGGGCGGTTAGATTTCCTACACTTATTATTACAATCATGTATTTATGCAAATGAATCATATTACTAAGTAGTATTCATTAAGTATAGTTGGTATTCTTCATTTCTCAATTAATTCTTGATTAATGCACCAATTCATTAATTATAGTGTTGCCTCAATTAATTTCCTAATTCACCGAGTATTAAATCGGTACTTATTTCTTGTTGAAATTGACATCAAACATTAAAATCTCCATTCCTCGTCCTTGAACTTTAAAAATAAATGACTTGACATGAAATTTGACGAATTTTTAATAATAATAATGAAATTCCAAAATCATCAACCTCAAATTTGAATAATAATATTCAAGTTTTAACTTCAGTTTCCAATTATTGTATTTTTCCAAATTTCAAGTAATAATAACAATAATTAGTAGCATCAATAATAATTATTATTATTATTAATAATAATAACAATAATAATAATAATAATAATAATAATGATAATAA